CAGGGTAGGCGTAATTTTTTTCGAATCTTACACGTGAAACTTTAATTTTTTTAAAAATTAGTTGACGCTTAATTTCGAACTCGTGATCTCTAAATCAACAAGACTCTGATACTATATCAATGAATATATTAATTCAACCAAATGCTCAAGTTTATGCTTGTGACCAAGGAACGATTATTTATGCTCTAACATTATTCAATGCATCTGAATATATGTGAGAAAGTTAAATTAAAATATAAAATGTGATGATGATATCCAGGGGTTTAGAGGCTGTTTGGCAACTTCTGAATAGGTAAGTGCTGAACCAGTAAGAAGTCTGAATCATTAAGTGCTGAACCAGTAAGAGGTCTGAATCATTAAGAGCTAGTATATTGCTTAACTATTCAGAGGCAAATGTCTTATCAATCCAGATAAGAGGTCTTAACCATTCAGACTCTGTATAATACTTAACCATTCAGACATCTGAACCATTAAGAGGCTGAAACAAATAGTCTAAACCATTAAGTGTTGAACCATTCAGACATCTGAATCATTAAGAGGCTGAAACAAACAGCCCCTTAGTATTTCTACTAATAGAATGATTTATTTACTTAATTTCTTTAATTCCAAACCATTTTTCTTATATTTGTAATATAGTTCTTTATATTTTCGATATGACGTTCATTCATTTGATAGTTTATATGAAATATTATTCAGTTAGAACAGAGTTTGAGGGGCTGTTTGTTTCAGCCTCTTAATGGTTTAGACTGTTTATTTCAGCCTATTAATGGTTCCGATGTCTGAATGGTTAAGAGATTTGCCTCTGAATGGTTAAGTATTACACAGAGTCTGAATGGTTAAGACCTATTATCTGAATTGATCAGACATTTGCCTCTGAATAGTTAAACAATATACTAGCTCTTAATGGTTCAGACCTCTTACTGGTTCAACACTTAATGGTCCAGATCTCTTACTAGTTCAACACTTACTATACCTATTCAGAAGTTGCCAAACAGCCTTTGAGTCTTACCTCATTAACATATTCCACGAACTCCCAAAGCACGTTTATTAAACTTTTTTGATGGAAAATGCAAAGATATAATTTCATTTGTTTAAATAATGTGACAATGATAGGGAAATTTATTTAAATAACACTAAAATATAATGATTTTTCCCAAATAGCATCACATGTATTTTTTCATCAATATAGCTGATGGTGTAAATTATCGACCGATATATCGTTTTTAGCCGGGCAAAAATGATAAACTAGTCTAAAAATACACTAAAATATAAACACGAGGATTTTGACGTGGAAACTCAAATCGGGAGAAAACCACGGGCCTTTTTGGCGGTGTAACACCCTAATCCGTCCAGGTTTACAACCCCTTCCGAACTAAAGTATTAACTTGGTAATCGTATAATTTAAAGCATTTCAAATAACTTTATTCATCATAAATGAAATTCCAAACATAATTGTAGTAAATACGGAGTGTTTAATACGGAAGCGATTTTTAAACATGGTTCATAATAACAGAATCATTTATTTTCTCAATAAATCCACCACGACTGTCTCGCCCCTTCCGCTGCCAAGAACATGCCATTCACTCATTCTGTCTACCTGCGTGTAGCAAATAAAACATACTACACGCTCAACGATGAAGCTGAGTAAGCATATCTAAAGCGTCGAACATCCAAATAAATTGAATCTCAATTCATAATCAACCATTTGATATCATGCACACAATATATGATTCAAACATTCATGATATTCTCAATATTTTATTCCAAGTCATTTGATATTCAACATCTCAACCATGCTCTTAAATTATTCTTAATCTAAGGCCAAATCATTTTATAACAAGCTCTTAGCTATTCCTAGTCTAAGGCAACATTTCTAAGCAGGCCCTTAAACTATAAATAGTTTAATGCAGAACACAAGAATCGATAATCCACCCTATGAGTCATGTGGATTACGTACCAACCGAACAATGATTTGTCGGGTGGGTGATATCCGGTCTGGATCCCGTACGTACGTTTTAACCCCGAAATATGAATTGGTCAAGGAGGTATATCTTAGAGTTCTTCTAGATATCCTTAATAATCATCATCA